TCTTCCCTTCCCACTCTGCCCTCACTTGGATTTTCCCTTCCCATTCCCAGCAGGGATGGGAGCAGTGAGGACACCCTGGATCCACTTGGATCTTCCCTTCCCACTCTGCCCTCACTTGGATTTTCCCTTCCCATTCCCAGCAGGGATGGGAGCAGTGAGGACACCCTGGATCCACTTGGATCTTCCCTTCCCACTCTGCCCTCACTTGGATTTTCCCTTCCCATTCCCAGCAGGGATGGGAGCAGTGAGGACACCCTGGATCCACTTGGATCTTCCCTTCCCACTCTGCCCTCACTTGGATTTTCCCTTCCCATTCCCAGCAGGGATGGGAGCAGTGAGGACACCCTGGATCCACTTGGATCTTCCCTTCCCACTCTGCCCTCACTTGGATTTTCCCTTCCCATTCCCAGCAGGGATGGGAGCAGTGAGGACACCCTGGATCCACTTGGATCTTCCCTTCCCACTCTGCCCTCACTTGGATTTTCCCTTCCCATTCCCAGCAGGGATGGGAGCAGTGAGGACACCCTGGATCCACTTGGATCTTCCCTTCCCACTCTGCCCTCACTTGGATTTTCCCTTCCCATTCCCAGCAGGGATGGGAGCAGTGAGGACACCCTGGATCCACTTGGATCTTCCCTTCCCACTCTGCCCTCACTTGGATTTTCCCTTCCCATTCCCAGCAGGGATGGGAGCAGTGAGGACACCCTGGATCCACTTGGATCTTCCCTTCCCCCTCACCGGAACACGGAGCAGGGAGTGGCTGCCAACACTTTGCTGCCATCAGGGGACCAGGCCAGGAATGTGACACCTCCACCCCCAAACCACTGCAGCTGGACACAGTTTTCCGTGGACACATCCCACACCTGGAAGAAGAGATGAGGAGGAGGAGGAGGATGCTCAGAACAAGACACTCCCTGGGTACCAACACAGCTTTGAGGGGGTTAGTGGGCATGGAGTGATCTCCCAGGTCCAGCTCCAATCCCAGAGCTCCTTCCTGCAGGAATGTCCCCCCAGTTGGCTCCTGGTCCAGGCATCCCCCCCAGAGGCACAATCCCAGTGCAGGGATCCTCACCAGCATAGCTGTGTCCACTGGTGATGCTGAGAGAAGCCTCTCCCCACTGGGTGCCCAGGCCAGGCTGGTGACAGGGCTGTGCCCAGGGTGGGACAACACCTGGGCACAACCAGAGGATGGTCTGGAAAGGAGGAGAGAGAGACACAGAGAAAGATTCCATGGGGATGTGTTAGCAGGAAACCTTTGGGATGTGCTGGTGGTCCCAAAGCCAAGACCAAGAGGGACATTGCAGCCAGGGCAGGAGGGGACAGGTCACCTGGTGGAGAGGGAAGTGGGATCCAGGTGCCACACCAGGACACAACTCTGGCAGGCAACAGCAAGGATGGAGGCACAGAGAGGTTTCCAGGCCATGGCAGCCACGTTCCTCTGCAGCCGATGCTTCAGCGAGGGCACGGTGGCACTGCCAAGGAGGACAAGGTGACAGGAGGGACACGTGGCACCCACAACCCTCCTCACCCACCCCACGGTGCCCTCTGCCAGCTCTGACCACAGTGAGGGGGCAAAGAGTGGGGAGGGATGTGCCCCACTGTGTCCTGGGAATGGGGGGAGGATGGGACAGGTATTCCCAGCCAGGTGACACCAGAGCACACCTGGAGTGGTTGTGTCCCAGTGCTCCCAGTTCAGTGCTGGGGGGGGAGAGGAGCAGGGCTGGGTGGGAATTCCAGGTGGGGCACAGGGAAGGAGCAGAGTGGCACTTTTGGGGCTGCAGGACCAGACGGCACAGTCTTCTCCTGAGGAGGGATTGGCATTCCCTGGGGGAGAGAGGAGACTCAGGGACACCCCAGACACTGCTCTGCCTGTGGCCCTCCCCACAGGGGTGTGTGACACCCCCAAAATGTGTGACACTCCCCCAAAAATGTGGGACACTCCCAAAAGGTGTGACACTCCCCCAAAAATGTGTGACACCCCAAAATGTGTGACACTCCCCCAAAAATGTGGGGCACTCCCAAAAGGTGTGACCTCCTGGGGAATATGTGACCCTCCTAGGGATGTGTGACCTCCTGGGGCTGTGTGATTCCCCCAAAATGTGTGACCTCCTGGGGATGTGACACCCCCAAAATGTGGCACCCCCAAAATGTGTGACCCCCACAAAATGTGTGACCTCCGGGGGATGTGTGACCTCCTGGGGATGTGACACCCCCAAAATGTGGCACCCCCAAAATGTGTGACCCCCACAAAATGTGTGACCTCCGGGGGATGTGTGACCTCCTGGGGATGTGTGACACCCTCAAAATGTGTGAACCCCCCAAAATGTGTGACCTCCCTGGCCCTGTGCCCCCTTGGGGCTCTGTGCCCCCCAAAATGTGTGACCTCCCTGGCCCTGTGCCCCCTTGGGGCTCTGTGCCCCCCAACATGTGTGACCTCCCTGGCCCTGTGCCCCCTTGGGGCTCTGTGCCCCCCAAAATGTGTGACCTCCCTGGCCCTGTGCCCCCTTGGGGCTCTGTGCCCCCCAACATGTGTGACCTCCCTGGCCCTGTGCCCCCTTGGGGCTCTGTGCCCCCCAACATGTGTGACCTCCCTGGCCCTGTGCCCCCTTGGGGCTCTGTGCCCCCCAAAATGTGTGACCTCCCTGGCCCTGTGCCCCCTTGGGGCTCTGTGCCCCCCAACATGTGTGACCTCCCTGGCCCTGTGCCCCCTTGGGGCTCTGTGCCCCCCAACATGTGTGACCTCCCTGGCCCTGTGCCCCCTTGGGGCTCTGTGCCCCCCAAAATGTGTGACCTCCCTGGCCCTGTGCCCCCTTGGGGCTCTGTGCCCCCCAACATGTGTGACCTCCCTGGCCCTGTGCCCCCCAAAATGTGTGACCTCCCTGGCCCTGTGCCCCCTTGGGGCTCTGTGCCCCCCTGGATCCCCCCAGAGCTCCTGAGCAGGGAGGGAAAGGAGAACCAAAGCTTTGCTCAGGCTCCAGGTCTGGAAAGGAGCAGCAGGAAAGGACAATCTGGGCAGAACACGAGCCCAGGTGGGCAAGGACACCTGATTTGTGCCAACCATGGTGTGACAACGAGGAGCAAACCCCATGCCAGGCCCCTCCAAATCCCAGGATTCACCCCAGGAGCCACCTGGGCCTCACCTGTTGGAGTTGTAGACTCGGATAGAATCATCCAGAAGTGCCACAGCAAACTTGTTGGTGTGTGGGTGCCAGGCAAAGGCCCTGATGGTACAGCCAGTCCTGCAGGGATGGGCAGGGAGAGGATCCCTCAGCTCCCAGGGGCAATTCCCAGAGCTCCCAGGGAAATAAAACTTCCTTTCTGCTGCTCCATGGGACTGTTTTTCTTCAGAAACGCCACCTTCCCCTTCCTGGGGCAACCACAACCTCCTTGGGGCATCCACAGCCTCCTTGGGGCATCCACAACCTCCTTGGGGCATGCCTCCTTGGGGCATCCACAGCCTCCTTGGGGCATCCTCAGCATCCCTGGGGCAACTACAACTTCCTTGGAGTGTCCAGAACCTCCTTGGAACATCCAGAACATCCTTGGGGCAACCACAACCTCTTTGGGCCTCCCTAAAATCTCCCCTAACTTTCCCTCTCTCCATTTCTCCCCATTCCTCCTCGTCCTGTCCCTGCAGCTCCTCCCCAAGTCCCTCTGTAGTTTCCCTGGAGCTCCTGCAGCTCCTTGGAGGTCTCCACACAAACTTCTCCTCTCCAGGCTGAGGAACCTCAACCCTCTGAGCCCTCCAGGAGAAGGTACTCACCAGTCCACGGCCTGGGAGAAAGCTGCAATCATGTCCTCACTGGTCAACTGCAGGAGAGAGGAGAGAAATGAGCTGCAGGAAGGACCACCCGGTGCCCACCCTCCTTCCCTCTCCTCCCACCTGGATTTTGGCCCTTCCTCAAGCACTTTCCTGCCCATTCCCAACATCATTCCCTTCCCTTTGCTGGAAGACACCAACAGCACTTGGAGCTGATGAAGATCTCCAGGTGCTCCAGAGCTCCAGGAGGATCTCCAGGGGCATCTCCAAATGCTCCAGAGCGCCCCAGGTGCATCCCCAGATATTCCAAAGGGACCTCCAGGTGCTCCAGAGATCTCCAGAT